TAACAGTTTGCAAACTTTTAAAATGTGTTGAATTTTCAAAAGTGATGGAATAGACTTGCGGAATGGAAGATTTGACAAGATATTTATTTCAGAGTAATTCTGAATTTTTTTTTGAATTCTTAAATGTGTGAGAACGAATAAAGAGACTGGACACAATACAGCACATAAACATGGGCACCCACAGAAATATTTTCAAGGGGGGCCAAAACATGTATGCAGGGGATCAGATTTTAGGACGTAAGTCAACAGTTTGTTTGAAGTTAAACACAAAGCTACACAATGGGCTATTTGTGCTCTACCTACCACGGGTATCGAAACTCGGTTTCTAGTGTTGTAAGTCCTCTGACATACTGCTGTGCCAGTGGGGGACATAAGTCAACAGACTAAAAGAATATGTGTTTTGTGTCTTTAAACGCAAACACAAATTTGCAGTTTTAATAAAAAAATACTAAAAATATGTAGTTTAACTACGATGTTAAATTTATATCATAATAGGTGCAGTTTGTTGTGAAACGTAACGGGGCAAATGCCTCCTCTTGCCCCTTCCTGCGGGAGTCTATTCAGACAAATGAATGATTTTTATTAAATAATAATACAAATGCAGTGTGTTTACTTGCTTAAAATTCTGTTACTGGATAGTGAGTTGTTTTTTTTTAATAGTAGCAATTGAGTCTATATACCAGACTAACTAAACCTATTGTTACTTAATTGAAAGGTAGTGTTGAATTTATCCATAGTAACTAACTTAACCACAGGACAGGCCATTTTCATTCAAATGTAGGAGAAGTCAAAACCTTAAGATATTATCTGTTCTACCATTGAAGGATATTACTGTTTATATTCTTTCATAAAATGTAGTATCACAGCCATTTTCTCTTCATGGAAAGGACAGGTGTAACCTCAACAGAATGACAAAGGATCAAAGGCAGTTATAACAAAATCAACTTAATGTTTTTTTGGCTATGTGTTATGTGAAAACACAGAAATAACTGATAACCTTATAAATAAATTTGAATAATACTGTATTAATTGAGGCTTGTCCTCAAGTCAACAATTAACTTTAATTTTAAAAAGCAAAACGTTTTTCTTTTCAGACACCAGAAAAGAAATAACCACTGGCAGAGTTTGGCTAAAGTAAGACATTT